TTGTTGTTTTTCCCCTCTGGCAAGAATATTTCATAGGTGGTACTCTTGCTTCCTGTGATGTGTTATTAGGAGACACCTGATATTCAGTTCTTCTCTTACTGATCTTAAGTAAAAATTTAAGCAACCATTATTGACTATGGCCTAGATCCATTTTTTCATTGGGGCTTACAAAATAGTGATATCGTAATTCTTTTTCCCCTCTGCTTTTATTAACAGTGATTCTTCTATAAAAGAAGTACTTTTTCTCATCACCTGTTGGGTTGCTTTGAAAGTCAGTTTAGCCATCTTCTCGTTTATCTGGTAGAAACTATAGTCCTGATGAACTAATCTGTAATGCTCAACCTTTCCTTTTCATATTTGAAACTTTTGGGGCTCTTCTCTCCTATTTTATTTGCGTACTGCTAAATACCTAAATACCTTTTTGTTGTTTTTGTTTTAATTAAAGCACTTCAAACTATCCCAAATAAATGGCCAGATGTATAAAAACTTAATTCAGATAGATACTACGTACCTAATATCTGTGAGGCACTCTGCTGGGTACTAGTTATACAATATAAAAAATACAATCTTTGCCTCAAAGAGATTACAGTCAGAGTTGGGACCTCTACCTTTTCTAACTCCATAAAAAGTTAGCCAAACTTTTTGGTTGGCCAAAAAGTTTGTTTAGTTTTTTTCTGTAAGATGGCTCTAGTGGCGCTTAGTTGTCTTTAACTTAATATGAAACAATTTTGTTAGATTGTATTGTGGCAGCTGTCATATTAGTGTGCATTTATTTTAAAACATAAAAATTGGTGAAATTTTGTGTAGCCATTTTAATATTGAAGGTGGAAGAAAATAAGCAACATTTTCAGCATATGCTTTACTACTTCAAAAAACGAAAAAATGCAACTGAATTGCAAAAAAAGATTTGTGCAGTGTACAGAGAAGGTGCTGTGACTGATTGAAGGTTTCAGAAGTGATTTGCAAAGTTTTGTCTAGAGATTTCTCGCTAGTTGATGCTTCACCTGGTCGGGTAGACCAGTTTAAGTTGATAGCGATCAAATGGAGACATTAGTTGAGAACAGTCAACATTATACCATGCAGGAGATAGCCAACATACTCAAAATATCCAAATCAATAAAATTATTGGTAAAAATGAAAAATGTGGCTTTTATTTTAGGAAAAAACCACACAAACTCTTTGGCCAATCTACTACTTTCATTGTTTTCAAACTATAAGCCCCTCAAGGCTCCAGGCTTAGTCTTCTTCCTCATCCAAAGTCTAGGTACTTACTGATCATTCTTCCAGTGAATGAGGAATGTTGATTCCTTGGGGAGTTCTGGACACCAGAGAAGGAGAAGGGAAATTGTAATCCTTAAAACAATACATGCCGAATCCAAATTCTGTTTTTGAAGGTTTCCACACAGTATATATTGATCTATAAGAATCTACTGATGCACTAACTGGACTCCTGTAAATATGCTCTAAAAATAACATGAAGACTATCACAGAATAACCAAATTAAGTATAAGAAATTTTCATGGAAAGTATATCAAAACTACATTTTACTCAGATGGTTCAGATTGGACAATTTCCATTTTCCCTCAATATTGCTGGGTCTTCCAAGAATCAGAGGACTCATTGTGCAGGCCCACTGGGGCCCCACGACTTTTGGACCTCCTGCCAACTACAGGTCATCCCAGATGGGGTCCCAGGTCACACTGAGTTCGCATTCTTGAACTCAAGAACCAGTGTAAGTGATTGTCAGCTAATTTGACTATATTTTAGAATGTTTCCCAGATGAAATAAAGAAACACAAATTACAAATTCTATAACATTTCTCATAAAGTGCCATTGCTAAATTTGAGTTCAAACAATCCTGGCCTATTTTAAAAACACCATTCTTACATCCCTACCACACAGCATCAAAGGAAATCCGTGGTTTCTTTAAATTTTGTTTAAATGTTTTTAAATTCTATACTGTTAAATTCTACCTAAATTACCTTCATCCAAATTGAGATCACCAATTAAATACATCTCCAGCTCAAGAATTTATCTGATTAGATTTTAATAATCCCAGTTTTTATTCTGAATTTTCACTGTATTATTCCTATCTCATTCGCTTTTCATAATAAAATGGAACCCAATTTCATCAATTATTGTACAAAACCACCTTTCAGCAGACCATCTTAAGTGTAGAGTAGATCAGACCGTCCATCTTAGCTGCCACCCTCCTGGAGTCCCTCAGGACTTCCCTTCATCACAGGAAAGGTATTCCTTTCAGCCCAGGTACCCCTGGATTTCTTCTGAGTGGGGTCTAGTTCTCATGTAGAACTCTTGGGCAGTAGCCTCCTGAGGCCTCTTACTTCTGCTACTTGAACTTGCAGCCTGTGCTTGGGCTGACACTGACATTAAGATTTTTGGTTTTACCATTTCTGATTTCCCTGTAAGTTAAAGATTCCTCCATCACTGGCTGGTGAGTACATGACTATGAGAGCAATCATTTGGTTTATATACTCAGGATATTTTATTGATGCAGTGAAAATGACAGCATCATGAAGTGTCCACAATGCTGTCTCAATGCCAGCATACGCATGTCTCTTTGCTTTGGAACAAGATATCCTTGACTTACCCCTGAAGTGTGTCCCCTACTCCCATTCATAAACCTTTTACTTAATGTGAACTAATTTTCTTTTATTCAGTTAGCCTATTCCAGATTTCTCTTACTCTTTTACAGTTACTGAACCAAGGAGATTTAACTGAAAGACGGACATGAGCCTGGGTGCTGAATCCTGGAAGAGCAGCGCTTTCTGATCCCAGAGTACACCTAGTGGGAATGGCCTGCTTAAGGCTCACGATCTGCCAGAACCAAAATGAATCTGTGAATGACAAGACCCCGCATTTTCCCTCTGTTTACCTTACCTGGCATAGAAGGTGAATGCAGGAGAGCTTCTCTTCAGACTGTCATCCGATCCAGAAAAGGAAGAAAGCAGTGAATGCGAGCTGGGTAACTGTACCTGCCTGTCTACCCACGGCAAAATTTTGGGATGGACTTTTCCCAAAAATGAACTTGATGACATGTTGGCTGATGTTTCTCTGTATAGCTATTGAGAGGTTTTCCGATGAAGAGCTTTCATCTCCAGACTAAGCTGTCTTTTCGCATGGATGAACTGAGTCCTGCCACCAACCATAAAACTTCACCAAGAAGTTGAGCTTTCAAGATGCCTTGTTGCTTTGGAGAAGGGAGTGATGTCAGTTCTGTTGTGACATTCTCCCTTTAGCAACCTGAGTAAGAGACTCTCGCCACTGGGCTGCAAAATAAATAAATAAATAAATAAATAAATAAATAAATAAATAAATTACTTGAATCCCTACTTGGCCCAGGCTGAGGTACTGTTTTGTCCCATATACCTCTACTTAGTCACTTTCCTTTGTTTATGGAACATACAGTAGCATGTTTAAAAGGTTTCTTTTTTTTTTTTAAGAAACCATGATTCAGAGCTTCAATTGTTTTCCCTTTAATAAACAGAACAGCCCAGTCAGTTCTTTGGCTTTTTTCAACAGAGTTTGTTTTGTTAGTGAGGAGAGTAAGAAAGCAGTTCACTCTTCCCCTTTAAGGTACTGATGTGGCCTTAGGATTCCATGCAGGTAACACTGAGTTTTGGAGTCTTAGGAAGCATGACATGAACATCTTCATCTCTAACTAGCAAACCCAGATGATAGTTATCAGAGAATCATCACCAGAAAGGACCGTGTCTGAGTCTTGAAAATTGGCAATACCAGATACTTTTGAATTTTCCCAGAAAGTTTAAAAAAAAAAGTTGCTCCCTTAGAATAAGCGCTCTTGCTATTATCCTGTCTCTACAGCTACTGAGAGAGAATATTTAATTATAATTGATGAGAAAAAAAGTATTCCAAAGATCAACTACTAGTAGAAAATCATGGCTGTCAGAGGAGCTCCAAATTTATTTAAAATGAACCTCATGCTAACACATATACACACATGTACACAGATAACAGTCTAAATAGTTAACAAGAAAGAACTGTCTAAAATAATAGTTCTTAATTTGTTAATGGCATGTATAATCATCCTGTGATATGTAGACTGAGTTCATGTCAACTACTTATATTCCTAAAATGCCAGTTTTTGTTACAGCCTTCTCTTATACTAGACCAGTGGTTCTCAACTGGGGAAGTTTTGTCCCCCGCATCCTCCGGGGACATTTGGCAATATCTAGATGCTTTTGGTTGTCACAACTGGAGGAGTGTTCCTGGTATCTAGTGACTAGAGGCCAGGGATGCTGCTAAACTCCCTACAGTGTGCTAGACGCCTCCCTCTCCCTAAACCCATTAAAGACTCATCTGGCCCAAAATGACAATAGTGCTGAGGTGGAGAAACCCTGTATTAGAAGTTGCAAACTTGTCATCCCTCAGGTGTTGTATTTTGCTCATAAAATAGTTCCAAATAATTTTTATTTATTGTAGAGAGAGGGGGAGGGAAAAAGAAAAACATCAGTGTGTGAGATACACATTGATTGGTTGTCTCACCCACAACTGGGGACCTGGCTTGCAACCCAGGTGTGTGCCCTGACTGGAAGCGAACTGGTGGCCTTTCCATTCACAGGCCAGCGTTCTGTCCACTGAGCCACACCAGCCAGGGCATTTTTAAATTAGTTGCCAATTTGTGGGTTCCTGGCTTCTGTTGAAAATACAGTTAATCTGGCAATTCTAGGCCTGTATTCCAGCAGAGGGTCCAGTCTCTACTATCACCTACTGTTATCTTACAGCCAGCCCAGCTGACCTATTTATTTTCTGACTAACCCTTAGGGGCATTTGGGCTTGTGCCCTTTTTTCTGTTCAACATTTAAGTGTGAGGCGCAAAGTAAGAACCCTTAACCCAGCTCTGCTCCTCCCACCCTGAGCTTCTCCACTTTGATTTACTTGAACCCAGTTTTTGCCTGCCTGATTCAAACTCACATTTGCTGCCTAATATTGAAAAGCAGTAATTTTAAGATTATTGATTAAGCAAGTGATTTCAGATTATTTAGCAATTCATAAGACAGCTCCTCCTGTTCTTTCTTGGGGCTTGTAGGCTGTTCTAGAGATTCTTCCAAATCCTGCTGTGGATTTCTGATGCTGCATTTTGTAGTTTCAGCGGTGCTGCAGAATAAATAAAAACATTAAAAATTTTTTAATTAAACCATTATGTAAAGTTTACAGATGGTCTCAACATTTTCATTACATGTGATGAAAAAGAAAATTTCTAGGTGGAAAATGCGGATAGGAATTAGGGGAAGGGGCCATTAGGACTTAAGAAACAAAACAAAATTGAGAATATTGGCGATACTATGCTTTCTCCTTTTGACTTACATGATCTCAATGGAGGAGGTGGTGCTAATGACTTATTTTTAAAGAGTGCTAGAAAAACTTTAATCATTTTATGGGAAGTAAAAAATACACAATTTTTCTTTTTAAAAAATGTTTGTTGATTTTAAAGAGAGGAAGAGGGGGAGGGAGAAACAATTGGTTGCCTTCCGTAAGCACCTTGACCAAGGATCAAACCTGCAACCTAGGTGTGTGTGACCTGACCAGGAATTGAACCCCCAACCTTTTGGTGTACAGAATGACACTCAAACCAACTGAGCTACACCAGCCAGGGTTATATGATTTTTTAAAAATGGAATGGAAACACTTTTGACTGATGGCATTGGAAATGGAAAGGGAAAATGATGTTTCATATTCTAGGAATCTAGGCCTAATATATAATGATTATATTTTATTCACAGCTGCACTAATCTCCCAATTCAAGTGTGTTACTTGGAGATCTCTGGATGGTATTCTGTAATAACAGGAGAGTGATCTCAAAATATGACTGGCTGTTCTAAAGGTTCCTGCAGGGGGCGTTACTAGGGATGGCACCTCAGAGAGTTGCAGAATGATAGCTGCATCCTGGATTACAGTACCTGGGGTGAGCATGGCTTTCTGACTGCTCCTTCCATTGTACAGCCCTGGTGCCCTGAACCTTGCTCCTCACAAAGTCTTCATCCAGTCCGGCCTGCCTCAGGGTGTCTTGATACCGTTGTTCTGCTTCTTTCCTGGCAAGGTCCTGTAGAATGGAAATTAATCTGCTGCAGCTGTCTTGTGAATTATTTGATAATTCTAAATTACTAGCTTGCTTAAACCGTATCCTTACAATACTGCTCACGTCCACCACACTCCCCAATTAGTGGGCACATTTTTGCATAGAAACTACCTGAAGATTTGTTAAAATTTAGACTCATTAGGTAGGTCTCAGATGGGGCCCCCAATTCTGTATTTCTAACAGTCCCAGGAAATGCCAGCTATTGATTAGGGAGCCACACCTTAGAGAAGCAAGGCTTAGATTTTTGGAAAACCAAGTGAGACCCAGATGATAGACTGAAAGCTGAAGATTTAAAAGCAAGTAAACCATCATCAGGAACATTAAAATATTCACAAAATAAGCTGCACTAGTAACATTCTTCACAGGATAGGTGGTCTGCATGTGGAAGAAAAGGTTACTTTTCATTTATTTTATGTGTTTGAGAGCAAAATCCTACCAAGTACTTTGCATTTTTCCTAGGGTGGTAACAAAATCGGTTGAGATCCTCAGATCTCAGATCATGAGCTTGCTTGAAAAAATTAACATGAAGAGAAAGGTCAGCATGAGAGTTTTTGAAAAATGCAAGCTACTAGGTAAATCCGCAACTGTCCAGTGTGTGGTAAGTATGTGGGTGGGAAGGAGTGGACCCAAGAAATGCCTGGATGATGCACTGGCTATCAGATGGAGAAAATACCCAGTATTTGGAACCAGGTCACTAGGAAACCCCCACTTTTGTCTGAAACTCTGGAAAGAAGAGTGACCCTCAGAATCTGATATAGCCCAAAGCTGCCCAAGATGGTGGCCTGAAAGATGTGCTTACTAACACAGCCAAACTGACACTGTGTTTGGGATCTAACCCCCACTCTGATTCAAACGGAAAGCCAGACTATAGTGAAAACTCTAGGAAGTGAAATATCCCATTATAGATGCCTCGGAGTTCAGTCTTGGGTGAAATTAGCCCAAGCAACATTCACTATTACCCTACTTATTTTGGGGAAAGATGGTAGTAGTAATAAAGTGGGCCCAATTTAGAATCTTTCTGAGCCTCAAGGAAATGTTTAATGCTCAGATAATGAACTAATAATTTCTAAGAGCCCTTTCATCAAAAACAAAGAAAATGAATGGTGGATTAGTCTTACCTTGGTAACTTGTTCAAAGAGATAGGGCCTCATTTGTATTCTCTTTTTCATTTCCTCCAATTCTTTCTTATACTCTCTTGCTCTTTTGCGGTCCTTGTTCCTGGAATTAACAAGATTTTTTAAATCCGTCTTTTCTCAATCCAGAATACCCTTCATTCCAATTGGGCAGGGTACGACCCATGGACATTGTAAATTCCTTACTGTGCCTGGCAAAACCCATGACTGTGCAATTACAGGAGCCTACCCTAGTAACTTATTTTGCCATTTTCAAGGCCAATGACCTGTTGGATCCCAAGACCAACAACCCTTGGGCCCATGGAGGACACTGACCGGTTTTCTTTCAGCTTTGCTTTGAACACCTCCTCCAGGCTTTTATGGGGATCCATGGCTTTTGCACGCAAAGTCACAGATTTAGACATTGCTTGACACTTCTTTTTATGCATCTCCAACCATTGAGTAGTCTCATCTGCTTTGTCCTTTTTTTCAAGTGAACTTCTAAAGGGAGGAGGCAAACACACAAAAAAAATACAGATGACCAGTGGATGTATTTAAAAGCAATCTCAGTAACCTTTCTGGAAAGTTGGTGTTTTCTATGAATGGAGTGGGTAATTTACCTCCCTGGCAATTCAGAAAGATTAAGCTTCTGACATTAAATGCACGGGCACATGACGTCTTCCCAGCACTCTGGATACAGTGATACTCTATCCCAGGAGAAGTTCACTAATTGAACTGAAAAATACGTGAGTTAAAATATCCTTCCTCAAATAGCCAAACATTCTGGCTTGTTGCCTATCCTGAAACAAAATGTTAATAACTACCATTTGCTGAGCTACCTACCCTGAACCAGTGCAGACAACCCACAAGTGCTTTAAGTCCATTATCCTGTGTAATCCTAACTGCCCTATGAACTAAGGACTATGAGCACTTTTTAAGGAGATGTAGCCTCCGAGAAGTTAAGCCACTTGCTCAAAGCTACCCAGCATACCTCTGGAAAAGCCAGGATTAGAACCAGGATATCTGACTCTCAAGCCTCTGCCCTTGGTGTACAAGCTGTGCTATAAACAAACAGTGGGCTGGAAGGATCTTGGATTCATGGTTCTTTGGGAATGCAAATCTGCATTTCTACAGAAAACAAGAAATGGACCTCTTTTGATGCACAATTTGGGGTCAAGTTGTAGTGCCTAGTTTGTGTAAATATTCTATGGGGTACTATGGAGAGTTCTACCAAAAGAAAAAACAGTCAAGACTCCTGCACTTGGATGTTTACCCTCAAATGGATAGATTAGAAAGGAGGATGTTAACGTTTAATCTGGCAATATGTCAAACTCCCTATTTCAAGAAAGTAGCTGTGGGCATCTTCTACAGGTGGGCTGGCCTCTGGTTCATGATATCTATCTTATTGGGACCGCAGGATATTGAGGCAGTTAGCCTTGATTTAGTAGCTCTATGAAATTTGAGGCAAAGGGGAATATCCCTTGGATTCTAGATATATTTCTGCAATCTCAACTGGGTCTTAAAGGGTCAAGTTGGTTCCGTGTACTCCTGTGAGCCCACAGTAAAGTACTAAGATGCTTGTCCTCTGCTCGCCCAGCTCATAGTGGAGGAACTATTTCTGGTTCGATGAGAATACCCTGACAGAGTAAGATCAGCTGAAGAGTTCAAAATAAGGAGGCACCTGATTCCTAACTGACTTCTGATGGTTCTCCAACATGAATCTCAGAGAATCTCAAGTGTGCGCAATGGATGCCTCATCTCCTCTGTGGCAGGGTCAGCCACCCGTTGTCATGCCTCTCTGAATTCCTGTTCCTAATGGCTTCTTTCCTCCTTCATTCATGGGTCATTACCCACGTTGTTCTCTCTGTCTGGAACCTTCTTTCTTTCTCCCCTCCCCCAAATTTTTTATTTACTTTTAGAGAGAGGAAGGCGAGAGAGAGGGAGAGTAACATCAGTGTGTGAGAGATATATCAATCGGTTGCCTCTCTCACACGCGCAACCCAGGCATGTGCCCTGACTGGGAATCGAACCAGTGACTTTTCAGTTCATAGGTTGGTACTCAATCCACTGAGCTGCAGAAGCCAGGCCTGGAAACTTCTTTCTTTCCAGCCTTTGGCTTATGCCTCTTTCTTCAGGTTTCACCTTAAACATCTACTACAAGAGACCCCTGCCCTGGGTTTCCCAGTGCCCCCACAGTCTTCTGTATTCCCTCATCATTGCACTACTCACAAAATAAGGTAGTTGCTTCTTTGCTTTTCTGTATGTCAGACTAGGTATTAAACTATAGATTCCATAAGGTATCTCCAGCCTTGACATTATGCCTGGCACAGACTAAACCCCGTGCATATCTTCTGAATGACAGCCACGTGTTTTCCAGCACTGTGGAGGACCACACGTATTTCTGTCCTGATCAGAGAATTCCCTTCCACCCCTTTAGGCCTTTCTGGTAACAGGAGAGGAGGCCCAGCAGCAGGGTGGTTCCCATCACGTGGGCCACAGTCTGAGCATTACGGGTCTTCTGCAGCCTGACCACTCACCTGACTGCAGATTCCCTCTTCCTAGTGGCATCTGTGATGTGCACAGGCAGGGTATTGGCAGAGAGGGAAGCAAGGCCGCTCAGGGAATGACTCCTTGGCCGGGGCGTGGCGGGTAGCTGTGGAGAGTCCTAGAGGAGACGAAGGCTGGTGTTGGTGGGACAGCATGTGTGATTAGTCTCTACCTTAACTGGAATCAAGTTCAGTGAAGGACTAATCAGAGTAAGAATCTTTTTTCCTGGGGTTAAAGCAAAGGGTAATGAGATCTCACATTTAGTAACTGGGACAGACTTGGATATCAATCCCGAAGTTTTTAATCAAATAAGTTCTTCGGAATGGGCACGGGGACATAACAGTTAATCCCAGCTCCTTGCCTTCCAGTCCTGCTTGAACTTATTTCTGCAATTTGTCTAGAGAGAGGGTAGAAAAAGAAGTATTCTTGTGGGCTTAAGTTTATAGGAATTGTGGATCTGCACATCTGGCTCCAGCTGAACCAGTGTTTAAAAAACAATTAAAATAGAAAAATGCCATGAGAAGTGCCTTCTTTTGAGACATGGCCCTCCTTGGATTTCGGGCCTCAGATCTCGGACCCTCCCGCAACTGCCTGGGCTCTCACCTTCCTCCCTCCAGTGGCAGCAGCATCACAGGGCCGCTGAGTGCAACACCGGCTGGCAGTTCTCAGCAAGAAGGGCTTGTTGCGAGTCACCTCTCGGGTGTCCCTTCTCTTGGCAGCTCTTTTCTGGAAGGCCTTGTAAAGGGCCTCATAGTCAGGAACAGCAGGATTCACCCGAGGCTGGAATCCAAAGTCAGTGTGCAGAAACCCAAGCTTTTCCTCCCGGGTTCGGGTGGCTGTGCGAGGCCGTGGGTCAGCTCTGCAGCTGGGGGAGGGGATGGGGGAGGAGGCCATCTGGAGCATGTCTAGGGCTCTCATCTGGATGCGAATTTTCCTGAAGAGCTCAGCTTCTGTGGAGGAAAATCAGGGTGGTGATGAGTGAAGAGGGTCCAAGACTCATACCAAAAGGTTTAGAGAAAGTTCCTTCTTTCAAACACTAGCAGCAATGAGCTGGAGCCAACTGTTAACTTTTCAGGAATTTTGTGAGCCAGTTGACATCATGCGGAAGCCTGAAATTGGCCATGATAGGTATATTTACACCACAGAAAATGGCAAACACCACAAATTGGCTTTTTTTTTTTTTTCTCCCTGGAGAGTCTGTTAATAAAGGTGGACCAGAACGCCAGTGCACTCGGTTGCAGAGTCAGTTACCGTTCACATTTACTGAGTGCTTTCTATGGTTCCTTCTTCAGGGACAAACAGGAAGAATGTGTCAGTCACCTGCTCCTCTCCCAGGACTCCCTGTCTTGGAGAAAGCCCTGCCATCTACTCAAATGCCCAAGCCCATTGCCCGAATCATTCTTGGCTCCTCCCTCCCTCATCTCATCAGTCACATGTTCTGCTGTCATGCGTCTTTAACCCATACTCAGTCCAGTCTTTTCTCATCATCTGCTATTAATTTCGTAATTTAACTAAATTGTTGAAATAGCCTCCTTTAGATCCACACCCCTCCAGTTTGGCGCCTCCCCCTTTCATCGTCTCCAGAGCAATCAGAGCGGCCTTTCTGAACTGCCTGTCTGATCGTGAGCCACCCTACTGAAGCCCCCCAGGGGCTCCTCGGTGCCCTTGGGTGAAGTCCAAACTCTCAACACACTCCTCCCCCTGCCATGGCCTGCAAGGCCCCAGGTCTGGCCTGCACCTGCCTATCCCGTCCCTATTCTCCCTCTCTTCTCTCCCTTTCCATTACCCAAATGTGCTCAGCTTTCTCTTACCTCCATGCTATAGCTGTCCCTGGTACGCTCTTCCTCCCTCTTCATCAAATTAACACAGCTCATCCTTCAAGTCAGCCTCAGTACTCACTTTCTCTGGGGACCCTAACTGTTACCACCCCTCACCATACCCTAGGTTATGTCTCTCTGTTATGTGGGACCCCTGGCTTCCCCTTGTAATCCTTGCAAATGGCTCATCACAGTTGTGATTATGCATCTATTATCTGTCTCCCTCCATGTCTGTTCCTTCACCCCAGAACAACGCCTGGGCATGGCACATGTTACTGAACGAGCAAGAAAGCTTGGGTCTCTTATTTGAGCTACACTTCTTGAAATGAGCACCTCACCAGCATGCGGGAGGGGTGGGGGCTCTCCTCAGGGGCAGCTGGCTAGTGGTGGCACTGGTCTGAGCTGGTCGCTGGATGTCTCATTGGTTCTCTGCTCTCACGTGTGCTGCTGCAGAGGCCTTTGCATCCACTCACTGAGAGGTCAATGGGACAAAGCTGGGGGGCACTGCAGGACCTCTCCTCATTCTTTGTTCCTTACAGGGCTCTCCCCTTAGATAGATAGGCCCACCCTATCCCCTGGCCTGCACTGAGCATGGCCTCTAGCGGGTCCACCCGAACAGTTCATCTCCAAGCCAGGCTGACCCCTGGGCCTGACTAAATTCCCACGGCACCCCCAGGCAGGAGGCAGGGGGCAAGGATGTCTTTACCCTGGAGTTTGTCCCCAAGGGCTGGCTCCAGAATGGACTTGGGGATCCTTCTGGTGGCTTTCTTCTTGGAGACCTGGGCCTTAGCAGTGGCAGCCAATTCCTTCTGTTGAGCGGTTTTTCTTTGCTCTTCCTTCTCCAGGAAGCTGAAGGGTTTTAAAGAAGAGAGGAGCAGTTCCTTCCTCTTCTGGATCCCTTCCTGCCTTCGGGCCTCATTACGCTCCACGATTTCCTGGTAGAGGGGCAGGTAGACATGTGCAGGCACAGGCTGTGCCCTGAACTGCCGGTGGCACTCGGCCTCCTCCTGGCCCTGCCTCTGAGCTTGCTGCCTCTCATGCTCGAAGGAGGCAGGTGAGGCCAGCCACTGGGCCTTCTTCCGGGCCTCGCGCAATGTCATATGGAATGGCTGAGGGACAGTGATGGATGATGCCCAGGAGCTGATGCTTCTGTGCTGGGAAGGAGGCCTGGAGCCTGAGGGTCGCTGGGACTGAACCTTGGGAATGTTGGAGGGTAGGTTGCTCAGGGAGCTGCAGCGTCTTGTGGAGCCACACCTGGAGGGAGAAAGCAGGCTGCCCTGTGCTTAGAGGACAGGGCAGCCAGGAGGCCTGGCTAGTCCCAGATCCCTGGCCCTCCCAAGTCCTCACTCCCAGCAGGTTGCATCCAGCTTCTCAGCCTAACATAACAGCCTCACAGGCCTCTAAGCCTTTGCTTTTGTCAACCTGTCCTTCCTCCCTTCCACAGGCCATCTCTCAGCCTTAGTATAAAGTCCCTTCTCAAAAGTGGTCCAAGAATTGCCACTTTGCACTCAAATTTATTTTCATATGGAGAACAGTGCAATGGTGCAGAGCAGGGCTTTAGAGTCAGACAGAGCCAGGTTCAAATCTTGCTTCAAACAATTACTAGCTATGTGACTTTGAGCAAGGTTCTCTTGGGACCTCAATTCCTTATCTGTAGAGTGGCGAAAATAATACCTACTTAAAGGATTATTGGTAGGAGAAAATAAATATTAAATGAGATAAAGTATACATACATATAACAGGGATTGGCCAAGGTAAATGTACCTTGTTGTCATTCTCAGGGAGGTAGTGTGTTTGGGAAAGGCATCACTAAATCAAATCCAGTGCTTCAGGGAACTAAGTGTTACCCGAAGTGATTGGGAACTGCTGGGTAGGAATCAGAACACATGTTTGGATCTGAAAGCTGATTCCGCTGGAGACTGGGTAAGTGGCAACTTGCAGAAATGGTCTTTGCTTTACTGAGGAAGAAGAACGTGACTTGGTCAGAGTTGTACAATGAGGCAGCTGTTGAACTGCAGTGCCTTACCTCAGAGACAGCAGGTGCTGGGCCTGTGGCTTCCCCCTGCCTCTGTTTTGGAAGAAACTCTCCAGGTCTTCGTCATCTTCAGAGAGACTCTCATCACTGTCTGGGTCAGACTGATGAAGGGATTCTGACAGGCACCACCTGCCTTCCTGCTTTAGTTCTCGCAGGGTCTCGTAAAAGCTCCCAGCTGAGTCAGGAGAAGTAGAATCTGTCTCCTCTGGGCTGAGGAACTCATCAAGTTTGCCAGCCCTGGGCAAAACCGGCCCATCCCCAGGCAGCTCCTCTTCCGCCTCTGTGTCTGAGGAGGACTTGGGGGGAAATATCTAAAATGAAAGAGAATAGACTCGGGTCAAACTATAATTTCAAATTTATTCATAACATAACAATTTCACTTTGAATAAAGCTCTATATATTAGGGACTAGGGAGGGACAAAGTAACATTAGATTGTTCCTTGCTCTAAAGGAATTTCTCAAATTGGTATATGGGGTATGCTTGGTTGAAGGTATCAACCCCAAGAAAGACAGTAACTGCCAAGAAGGGCTCCTTGTGGTTAACTGGGCTCAAATTCATAACCAGAGTGTAGGAGCCATTGTTTACAGAGGTCCCTCATGTACAATGAATTATCAGGGAAGAGCTGCAGACTGAGCTGCCAGCCTCCTGCACTGTTTCTGCCACCTGAGTTGACTCTTATAATAGTGCTTCTAGGACTGTAATTCAACTAATGGGCTGGAGACCTACCCCATCCATTGGAGCTGTGCAACTATATCCCCATTTGTATACTTACTGACAAATCAGAACAGGTGGAGTCTATGGACTAATCAAACTGTGTAAATTTAAATTCATCATATGCATGAAAATTGATCAATCAAGGACCAGGGGGCAGGCCCTGTTGTCTATATAAGCTGGCGTTGTGCTGTCACTGTTTCCCAGTTTCGCAAACTGAGCTACAACACCTGAGCTGTTTTACCGGATGAAATCTCCTGTGCTGCACCCCAAATTGGGAACTTCTGTTGGTATTGAATTGTGGCAGTGATCTTTGGTTGACAAAGGACAGGAAAGAGAAAAGCCAAGAGCTAAAGTTGGATCCCTGCTTCATGCAATGCGGTGAGCATTTACAGAGCACCCACTCCACACCATGCATTCCGCGCCCTGTACTCCAGGAATCCTTCCTATGATCTTGGTCACATTTTGGGCCCTGCCCTACTTGGGTTTTACCAACTTTTGCCAATCTCCCTTTTCCTGCTTACCCCATCTACACCTCTGTTTTCCTCATATTCTAGCTGATTTCCACTGTGTCACCGGGAATGGATAATTAACAGGAGAGACAATGTGGTGTAGCTCAATGAGCAGTGTCCTAGAATGTGGGAAACCCAACTGGGTTTAAATATTCCATTCATTCAGAAACTGTGTATCGGGTGATTGACATGCACTAAGCATTAGGCTGAGAATAAGACAAGGTCACTTCTCTCATGAAGTTTGTATTTTAGTGAGAGAAGAGAGATGATATAAGTGAAAGCCATAAAACTGACATTATAGAGTGATGGAGTGGCTATGAGAAGCTATCTTTATATCATGGGCTATAAAAGCCCATCAGGCCCTGGCTAGTGTGGCTCAGTGGATAGAGTGCTGGCCTGCAAACCAAAGGATCACCAGATCAATTCCCAGTCAGGGCACATGCCTGGATTGCAGGCCAGGTCCCCAGTTGAGGGTGCATGAGATGCAACCACACATTGATGTTTCTCTCTCTTTCTTTTTCCCTCCCTTCCCCTCTCTAAAAATAATAAAATCTTTTTTAAAAAAAACCCATCAGATAAAGACTAGAGAGAGAGAGAGAGAGAGAGAGAGATTATGATATATGTATATACTTGTACAACAATCAGAGTTAGGCTTATTAATTTGCTGCAGCAAACCATGGAAAACTATAGGCAGCTTGGGAGGGGGTAGCTTTCAGTAAGAGGGTGGGAGAGGAGCTTTTTCTAGGGGTAGATTGCCTGAATGCTTCTGATGAGAGTTAGGGGAGGCAGGGGTCAGCTCGGGATGAATGCTGTCACAAAGAGGGCATAGCTTAATTAAGTGGATGACTGAGCAATTTTTATTCAAAAGGTGATGAGAACAAAGCAGGGCTGGTTAAGTAACTGATAAGGGGTGTTAGGCATTTTTACAGGTACGTTGTGGTCCTATGAGAAACACTGTTTTCTGCTGATCTTGCTGCTGGTTTTATCTCTGTCTGTTACAGTCTGAGCTGTATTTTCTCAGCCCTGGGATGATTTTTACTTTCCACGGTGGAGGAGTCTTAGACTGACACCTGACTGATGAGAAGGAACCATCCTTGCTCAGATCTGGTGCAAGCGGTTTCTGGGTTCAAGGAACAGCAAAGGCCTTGAGGCAGGGACCTGAGGCAGGAACGAACTTGACTCCTGAAAGAGAGCTAGGGTGGCTGGAGAGCTGTGGCATGAGATATCCTTAGACGGGCAGGCGTGGTGGTGCCAGGATGGGACTAGAAGATGACCGATTGCAGCTGGGAAACAGCTGGGAGCAGGCTGCTGCAGGCCTCCAGGTGACACGTGGTGATGATTTTACTGGGTTCTCTAAGGTCCAGCTCTAACACTGAATAGAACGCTGGATTCTGAGTCAAAGGAATGTATGTGCTCTAGCCCTCACTCTGCTACTGCAGAGTGTGTGATCTTAAGAAAACTTCCTTTTTTAAGTGACATTATTGAGACATAATTCACATAGCATGAAATTCCTGTAATTCACTTATCTAAAGTGTGTAGCGGGTTTTAGTATATTCAGAGAGTTGTGCAGCCATCACCACAATTTCATCACCCCCAAAAACAAACCCCAAACCACATAGCAATCACTCCCTATTTTCCCTTCCCCACCTCACCTCCCTCCTCACCTCCGACGCTCCCTGGCCAGCCCGAAGCAATCATCATTCTTTCTGTTTCTATGGGTTTGGGGGCAAATTTCTCAATTTCTCTGTGCCACAGTTTTCTCTTCTACAAAATGGAGATAGCAATCGTACTATTAGTCCTTGGGTAGTTGAGAGGATAAGCGAAAACTGAGGACCATTACTGTGGATCTACAAAGAGCCTGACGTAAGACTCAAGAGTTTCGGGTCAGGAGTTCCTAAATGCGGCGAATTGTGGGGATACGCCCCTGTCCGTCTGTCTCCAAGGCAACATCAAACAGTTTCCTCTCAGGTATTCCTTTCCGGGGCGCAGACCTGATTCCTCCCCTTCTCTGTTTCTCCTCACCTGAAGGCTCTGAGCGCCGCCGGAGACTCCCGCAGGCCTCCCCACCGTCATCTTCTCTGTGGGGCAGAGACAGAAGCGTCCGTGACAGCAGCGGTGCCTGCGGTGGCTGTAGCAGCTACACCGCTAGGCCACGCCCCTTTCTCAGTTTGGGGTTCTGATTGGCTCCCAAGTGGAGGCATTAACCAGTCCCCTACCCAGGGAGTCCAATCCATCCCGCCCAAGAAGGGAAGGATCGTTTTCCGATTGGCCTATTCTCTCTGCACGTGATATTTCCGGTTCTGGGACGGCGGGGCTGAGGCGGCCGGTGATTGGAGGGCTTCTGTGTGGAAGTGCTACCCCAGACGGGCCTAGCGGGGTGGCAAGTGCGACCGGAGTCAGCACCATGGCGGCTCTGTTGGCCGTTGGCCGGTTGGGGGTTGCACCTGCAGCCACCGGGAGAGGCCCACTAGTCTCCTGTCGGAGGTGGGCCGGCGCCCTGGCAGACACCGTGTACGATGTGGTGGTGTCAGGTGGAGGCCTGGTGGGCGCCGCCATGGCCTGTGCCTTGGGTAAGCTCATCTCCAAGGCCAGTATGGTCGGGTGTGGGTCCTTGGAGAAGCAGTGAGGACCGTGGGAACCCTAGCACTGTTTCCAAAGTCTGAGCGTTGTGGATTTTGTGCCCCATTCCCTCCGCAGAGAACCTCCAGCGCCCAAGGACAAGGGGTTTGGTTCTTACGCGTTCTGAAGGGTCAGTAGTGGGAGGGACCTTCGGAGTCCTTCCAGCTTGTAGGGAAACAGACCTGCTCAGGGTTGTTTCGTTATGGGCACAGTTGAAAGCGATCAGGCATTGTTGCGTTGGGTTAGGTTCTTTTTTTTTTCTTCTTCTTCCCCCGACAGCTTCATTGAAATGTAATTTACATGCCTTAAAGTTCACCCACTTACCACTATTTTTTTTAATTGATTTTTTAGAGAGAGAGGAAGAGGGAGAGAAACATCGATTTGTTGATCCACTTACTGATGTATTCATTGGTTGATTCTTGTATGTGCCACAACCAGGGTTCAACCCTGCAACCTTTTTGGTGTACAAGATATCCTAACCAACTGAGCCACCTGGACAGGGCCAGGTGGGGCCCATTTTTAACAAATACCTCCTGGGATGGGTGCAGGAGATTTGAGGACCACACTTTGAGAATGAGGACCACTGGAAAGAGCTTAAATGTCTTGTAGGGACATACCTATTAACTTGTTATATGGTCTTATACACCTTTCATAGGCAGGTATGGTTTGGGTGTATTTTCTCCTGTAATCAAGTGAACTACATGCTTGGGATTTTGTGTGTGCTGATGTCTCCCCTTGGTCACCATAGCATGTATCCCAAACAGTATTCTTTGTCAGTAGTTTATATCCTGACTGATCTTACTTTAAAGACCCATTTAATTTTAAATTAAAGGTGCTTTAAAAGTGAAAATTTTCCAGTAGGCTTTTCATATTATCCCATCAATCAGTTTATGTTTTCCTCTTCAAGCTCACATTAGTTTATGTTTTAGCCATGAAATATCTCTATTTTTCTTTTACATTGCTATTTGTAAATTATAGTCTCTAGTATTTTTTCTCCAAGTGAGGTTTCTAAAGTGTTACATTAATTAGCTAAAAAATAAAATACTATACCTGGCTATATTTTATAACGTGTTTGGAAGTCTAATTATTTTCCTGTTAATTTCCTGGTCTCTTGTTTAACAAAAATGTCTGTGAAGACATGTACTTTATGGATTGAGAAGATACAGCATTTGATGCTGAGGATAGTAATTTAAGAAAAAAAAATCTTGTCCTCAAGAGTTTGGAATCTAGCAGAGAAGGATTTGTAAATAACTGATCACAGGAAGAACAAATGAAAGTTCCCCCAGAGGAACAAGCAGCTGACCTATCCTGGGGGTGGTGTGTGGGTGTGGTGTGAAGAACACTGCCTGGAGAGGCGAGGCTTGAGTGAGTAGGATCTTTATGGGGAGGTGGCTGGGGCATTAGTGTCGAGTGGCTACTGCTAGATCAAGGTGTAGAGATGTGGGTGGCCCAGAAGTCCTCTGCAGACTGTGGTCCTCGCTCCTGTCCTCCAAGGCAAAATTGCTGCCATGCTGCCACATAGCTGGGCGGAGGAGGGAGAGGGACGGGTCTGGTAATCCTATCTCATTCTTTTCCTCTTTTGGCAGCAGCAACTTACTGCTTATTTTTACCCCTGTGTCTTTCTCTGAGACACTGGAAGGACTGACTGTAATGTGCTGCAGACACCAGTAATAGAATCCCCGTCTCCTTTTTACCTTACAGTGCTTTAGGGCCAGGCTTGTAGGCACAATTGACTTGCTTTTTGCCCCCCTTTTAAATCCTAATTTTTTATTTTTGGTTTAATCATAAGGCCACAGTGAATTTTGTTTATTAACTACATTTTCTGTTGAACAGGATTTGCAACTTTTAGTGATGTAACACTTTCAAGATTGGAAATATCTGGTGTCTAAATAATACGGTCTTTTTTTAACTTCATTCTTCCTTTCTAGGCAATTCTATTGGCCTGTTACGGGTTTTGCCATAATTTACTTCTTAGCAGGTGGCAGATGTTGAACCGTGTGCCGAAGCGTTACCTTGGTTGGTAGGGTGATTTGCAGTGGCTAAAATGGTGGGGCAGTGTATGTTATTGCTTAGGGCTCTGCACAGTGTTTCCTTTTTGTGTGCCCTGTGAGAAATTTGTATCCAATTTGTTGCTTCTCTTTGAAATGAAAAAAAATTAAAATTTTGATTTTCCTAAAATGAGATACAAAATTTTTTTTTTTTTTTAGGATATGATATTCACTTTCATGATAAGAAAATCCTGTTGCTAGAAGCAGGTCCAAAGAAAGTATTGGAGAAATTGCCAGAAACATACAGCAACAGGGTCAGCTCCATTTCCCCTGGCTCTGCAACCCTTCTCAGTAGTGAGTAGAATATCTTTTCTCATACAACCAGTCTCCTGTGTCTCTTGGCTTTTCAGTGTGCCACGTAGGGCAGAATCACCTGAGCACCTAGTGAGGATGGAGCCCGTTGAGATGGGTGGGAGAGAGGGGTGTGGGTGGGTAGTCTGGTGTATAGTTGAAGATGAGGACCTACAAAATGTTAACGTGTCAACTTCCAGTCTGAGGAAGACATCCTCGGGACATGTGGGTCTATCATGTAGACTTTATTTGTGATGTTGGGTCATTATGAGTTGGTGGAACTAAAACTATATGAAGTAATTATGACCATTCACTTCCAGTAGCTGCGCTGTCTTCATTCCCTGCATTGGCCCCCCCAGCGAGCTAGAGAGCCCGTGTAATAAATGCTTTTGGAGTGTAGATGGCTGTGTGTATACAGACCAGTTAATAGCTAATTGTCTTTAGGTCTCTGCCAAGTTTACTCCCTCAGGGCACCCAGTCTAGAACCACCCTATCTAAAATGTTGACTCTCACATCATTCTCAATACTGCTTTATTTTTCTTCATAACACTTACTACTGCCTGACATTGTATTATGTATTTGTTTTTTATTACAAATAATAAACTACATCGTCAGCTACAGAAGGGTGGGGACTTTCTGTTTGGTTTCCCACTTTTTGCTCAGTACCTAGAATTGCATCTGGCACATTGAAGGTGCTCTATAAATATTTCCTTAGTGAATGAGTCTCTTCAGTGCCATGGAGTTGAACATAAAATAGTCTTTATCCATAGAGTTTGTAACTTCAATAGGATGATGAAGAAAAAAGAACAATATGGCTTTGGTTTCCTAATTTATTTTCCCTAGTTTAATGTGATTTGACCCATTGATTATGAAAGCTGGGTTTTTTTTCATACTGTATAATCTGAACTGGGGAACAGAGTAGCTTTGCTCCTACCATCAAACAGGAGAGAAGTGGAAAGTATTTCTCTGTTACGGAGAACACCGAAAACAACCTTTGACTTAACAAGACAGAGGGACAGAGGGGAGCCCAGGCAGGATGCTCTGGTCTCTATATAGATGCTTTCTTTTGTAGGTTTTGGTGCCTGGGACCACGTCTGCAACATGAGATACAGAGCGTTTCGGCGAATGCAGGTGCTTCCCTTATTTCTCTTGGCAAAATATCTTGGTCTGTCTTGTATGAAGATATTGGGATCCACGTTCTGCAGGCTATCTGTGAATGTGGGAAGAATCAAAGTTCACACTCAGTCTAAGGAAGTGGAGGGAAACACTCCCAACAGAATTTTCTTCTCACCTTACATTCTGCCCACTGGGCTGACATACTGTGATTTTTCTACTTCTGTCATCTCACTTGGGAAAGCAGTCCTCAGTTTCTCATCTGGGCAATGTGTCCTTCTCCATGGGTTGTAGTACAGACTGTGCCTTTGTGTTTCCAGGTGTGGGATGCCTGCTCAGAGGCCCTGATCATGTTCGATAAGGATAACTTGGATGACATGGGCTATATCGTGGAGAACGATGTCATCATGCATGCCCTCACCAAGCAGCTGGAGGCCGTGGCAGGTGAGGCACCCACCCCTTCCACCTTCCTTTCATTCTCTGGAAGGTGAGCTGCTTTGGAATAATTCTAGGGCTTACTGGAAGAAAGGAACTCTTTTACGGATACTGCACGTCCACTTGTTTCAGGGTGGTTCTTTTTCTTTTTTCTTTTTCTTTTACAGAATTGACATACCATAAAATTTACCCTTTTTAAGTGTTCAACAATTTTTATCACATTTATAGAGTTGGGCCACCATCATCACAATATTTAGAACACTTCCGTTTCCTCAGGAGGAAACATCGTGCCCATTTGTGACATTCCCCAATCCCACCCCTGGGCTGTGGCACCACTTGTCTGCTTTCTGTCTGTCAGGATTTGCTTGCTCTGCACATTTCATAGAGATACACTCAGAGAATTTATGTTCTTTCGTGTCTTGACTTTTCCCACTGATCATATTTTTAAGATTGATTCATGTTGTAGCATGGATCGGTACTCTGTTCTTTTTTATTGCCAAATGTATTCCATTGTATGGATATACCACATTTTGTTTATCCATTCAGTTGATGGACATTTGCGTTGTTTCCACTTTTTGGTGATTGTGAATAATGTTAT